ATTTATAGACAGCAGAATATAACCATCATTATCATCTTCTTAATAATCATCATCACTATCATCATCATACAGAACTACCCGTGAGGATCCGGGGAGGAATAGGTCTTCAGCAACGCATGCTTGCCGTAACAGGCGACTATGCTTGTCATAAGAGCCGACTAACGGGATCGGGTGGTCAGGCTCGCTGACTCAGTTAATAGAGACACCGACCCCAATTGCCTGGCTCGGCACTCATGATATCAATCACTGGATTGTCTGGTCCAGACTCGATTATGTATACAAATTTAGTATCATATGGATTCGTCTAGGTGTTTAAGTATTTGGTTGGCTGCTTGCTGTAGCTTCCTTGACGAAAGGGGCGGATAGGTAATCTTTTGGTTAAAGCATTATTTCGCTTTTCACACCGAATACCGAGGTTCTATTCCCCAAATGGGTACAATGTGTGAACCCCATTTTCTGGAGCCCCAAGCGGATATTGCTGAAACCATACCCACTCACTCACTCACACCTTGATAAGGTGGAACGGTCGGTAATGCTGGACTCATTGCAAGCCCCTAACACTGAGTCGCAGCTGTACCTCCCTGCACCCCTCCCACTTACTCAAATTGACTCTTAATAAGCAGCGTCTGTTGGGACCCTGTTAAAAGATCGATAAAGCGGGAAAAACTAAATTTCTCTTCAGTGGGCTTGGGGACTGAAATCCCATTTAATTTCGTAACAATTATTTCAACTGGAATATGCTTCTGTCATAAAAGTCAGCTGATCTCTAACATGTTCCGCCCCTGGGCATTCTGGGTAGAGCAGGTCCCCCGTAGCACACGACCTGGCTGATTGGGCTGGGATGGTTACAGTGTGCGACTTGGATGGTTACAGTGTGCGACTTGGATGGTTACAGTGTGCGACTTGGATGGTTACAGTGTGCGACTTGGATGGTTGTGTGCGACTTGGATGGTTACAGTGTGCGACTTGGATGGTTACAGTGTGCGACTTGGATGGTTGTGTGCGACTTGGATGGTTACAGTGTGCGACTTGGATGGTTACAGTGTGCGACTTGGATGGTTACAGTGTGCGACTTGGATGGTTACAGTGTGCGACTTGGATGGTTACAGTGTGCGACTTGGATGGTTACAGTGTGCGACTTGGATGGTTGTGTGCGACTTGGATGGTTACAGTGTGCGACTTGGATGGTTACAGTGTGCGACTTGGATGGTTACAGTGTGCGACTTGGATGGTTGTGTGCGACTTGGATGGTTACAGTGTGCGACTTGGATGGTTACAGTGTGCGACTTGGATGGTTACAGTGTGCGACTTGGATGGTTACAGTGTGCGACTTGGATGGTTACAGTGTGCGACTTGGATGGTTGTGTGCGACTTGGATGGTTACAGTGTGCGACTTGGATGGTTACAGTGTGCGACTTGGATGGTTACAGTGTGCGACTTGGATGGTTGTGTGCGACTTGGATGGTTACAGTGTGCGACTTGGATGGTTACAGTGTGCGACTTGGATGGTTACAGTGTGCGACTTGGATGGTTGTGTGCGACTTGGATGGTTACAGTGTGCGACTTGGATGGTTACAGTGTGCGACTTGGATGGTTGCCCGTCTCCTACCCCTATTAACCGTGTGAACATTTGCTCATTTCAACTACTGGTCTGTCGGATCTAGAATCAATTGTTTACAGCTCGTCGTGATATGACTTGAATACTGCAGACTGACTAAAAATAATATTTACCTAGTATTTACAGAAAATATCTACCAATACCATTGGTGATGCCGAAATATCGACATTTTCAAAAAATGTCAATACTTGTACGTCCTTTGCTGTATTTTTTTTTTTTTTTTTTTTTGTTTCCCTTTGTTGGATGAGTAGATAAGTAACGGTCGGTCTCCTGAATTGCTTATTAACGAGAGTCAAATATAAATTTTGTTCAGTGTTCCTGAAATAACTTCTTTATGGGATTTTATGAGTAAATTGTGTGAAGCCATGTCTGGTGTCACCTGCCGTGATATTGCTGGAATACATGTATTGCTAAAAACGGGGTAAAATCAGCCTCACTGACTCCCGTACTGACCTATTTTGAAGAAGTATTATTTAATTAGTAAAAAACGTTACTAACCAATAAATTTAAGATTCGTGAATATTGAGTCAGCGGATCCGTAAACCAAAACTTTAAAATAAATGTCTGAGCTATCGTCAGGCAAAACAAACACATTGTGTATGCGATGGCGGCCATATTGTATTTGTAGGTCACGTGACCACCGGGGCCATTTAGTTTTGGTAGATATAAACATATATCCTTCTTATAGATTGTAGGGCTGGGACGGGTAACTCGGGTACTCGGGTCGGGTGGGTCCTGATTAGGACCCGGGAACCCACAGGACTCCGCGGACTCTTGGTTAGTCACGTGATGTATGACAAAAACTCACTATAGCTCAGTGGTTACACTACAAGTCGCTAATGTCCACATTTCTTTATGACGATGCGCACATTCCTTTTGACTTGTAAATGTTTGAGTAAAGATAAAGCTTCAGTCAACTTCAGTGAACGCATGATCTGTTTGTTTGATACATGTATCTAAATAGTTTTAGCCAGGGCTGCGGTAAAACAATTACCAATCAGACATTTTGTTCCCTACTCTTGAGACTTGCAGTGGGTACCCGGGTAGGGTCGGGTAATAGGGGGTCGGGTACCCGGGTAGTAAATTTGGACTCGTCTCAGCCCTAATAGATTGCACACTTATTCTACCAAATAGCATGTTGGTATCACATAATACACAGTATTTTAACAATACCCCTCAACTTTTAGGGGAATTAACATTACGACACAATAATGAGGTTCGTATTTTTAAGTGAGAGCCATGGCATATCGCTGTGCGGGGCGTGATTGCAGGGAAGACGCAGATAGGTCACTGTTGTTCAGGACATAGACTGGAGTATCATGGACGAATACATTTGGCTCGGAGCATCATTGGACAGCTCACAAATATTACCTTTACATCAAAAGTACAGTTTGACCGACTTCCATAACCTGTTTCACGACAAGGGCCCAAGTACATCGTAACAAGGCCCCGATCGAGCGTGATCACTATGAATGTATGTCCTGTGTCATGCCTTACACTTAACATGAGAGATTGACTAATTGTACGACGAGGTGTCAGTTTGGGATCTTGAGTCCACCAGGTGAGGTGATGTATTGTCTATATGTGACAATGACAACAACGAGGATAATAAATGTCAATCACTGTCTGACGGCTGACTTTCGTAGAGGTCATATTTCAAATGCGCCGGCATGGGAAAGATGTCCTTTGGCGTTGGCATGAATATGGCACTGACAACCTAGTTTTCAAAATAACCGGGTCAAAAAAGAAAATTTTCAATAGAACGCATGATTGAGGAGTTTGAACAAGGGGAGATAACTCTTCCGTTACATTCTGGACAACGCTAAGGTCATGTAGCTCACTCGGCTCGACTAAGTAGGTAATATGTGGGTAGCGGAATAAACCGTGGATCCGAGTGTTACAGAGCAAATACACACAAAAAATACAAGAATTACTGATCTTTTCGAAGAAACATCGCTCTCGCAGCATGTCCTAAAAGACGATGGTTCGCGATGGGAAAGACATTTTAACTGTTCATGGCCTGGTTTTTTTCAGTTTATCAAATAAGACAACAAACTAGACGGCATATCAAGTTCACAGTGAAAGCTCGAAAGCAGCCTGCAATTCGCACTATGATAAGAGGACATACACCAATGACAAAGACGTTCTGGTGCAAGACATTTGTTGTCAAGAACATGGAGCATCACGTGACAAGGGGCGCGTGAAGACGTGACTTCACGTGTTCCGACAGCCGGGGGGCGTGCCAAGTTCATCACATATATTTGATGAGGAGTGCAGGATTTCACCCAATGCCATGTTTACATAATAGTCCGTCAGGTAGGACTAAATTAGTCCACCATATTGGCGGGAAGAGCTGACCACTCCCAATATAATTTCTTTTTTTTCTTTTTTTAATAACTGCAAAAATAGCTATGTTTTAAAAATTGAACAATATCCAACGCATTGCTCTCTATCAAATTGTTTCGATTGTAAAACTGTTTTTCTCTAGTTTTATATGATATTTCGTTTTATTTGTGAATCTCTAACACAAGATGCGCGGTGTACAGTACAGTGGTGTTTTCAATGATATCGCTCAGACCTGACGTGACTGAGATGTTAAGAAATGTGTACGGTCATGAGGGGATTTTTTCCTAAAAGGTATTTGTTGAATGTTAACTTAAGGATATCGTACGTATAATTATAATAGAAAAAACACATAAACAATGTTTTATGATATGCAAATATCTTTGTCTTGTCAGCGTTTATTTTGACATTAAAAACATGGGAGTTGTCATTAATGTACTAAAATAGCTCGGTTTGAGTTATAAAGGGCTAAAAATAAGTCCATAAAATACCAAAATATCTCATGTCAGAGATGTAACTGTATGGTACACAGTGCCGCAGCAAGTAGGTGCACAGGGGTAACTGAAGCGACACACGCCGGCCTCTGACAGGTGTAGGGCGTGGTAACACTTGGTGAAATTCCCCACTCTCGTCTAACATCATTCTGTCTGGGCGAATGTGTACCAGTGTTGATTTATTAATATTTGAAATTTTCTATTATTAGAGATACATGCGTTGGATTCATTACGAAAAGTTGAGAACATTGTTAAATCCAAGCAGTCAGATTGTTAATATCATGTGAAAGTCTACGTTTTCTAACTCTTCATTTTCTATTCAAAATACTTCATCGCGAAAAAACCTTTTACAAGAATTGTCGTTTTCGGTCATAATGATATTATACAGAAATCTTAAAACCAAAATTCACCTATACAATTGAGCTTCAACATAAATCGCGTTTTAACAATTTCAGTATAACGAATCGTGCCGAGATCTATCTAAATATTGCTTGAAAAAAATCCTTAAAAAAACCTCATCATTAATCATATAAAAAATGTCTTACCAAGAAGGGCCGTTAGAGTAGCTACAGTTGCAATGGTCACACTTAAGTACACCCCAATATCCTTCGTAGCGTCGTCGGCAAGCACCTGGCTTCGGATCTCTTCATCGTTCTGTTTCTTGCTCTTCTGCGAATCCATCTTGGTATAGTTTAGGGTCACTGTCTTTGGCTTGTCCCGCGCACAACACTCACTGCCAAACTCAAGCTCGCTCGGTTTATATCTAGCCCAGCGTTCGGCCGAGATCCGGTTTTCGCCGAGAGCCTCGCTATGGTTCGTTTCACTTTCCCAAGTCTCACTTTCGGCGAGTTTGCAGTACTTCACGCGCCAAACGTTCTGTTCTTGCACTGTGCCAGACTTTCCCCACCTCGCAAACGTTCCCCCTGACATTTTGTGGTCGCCGTAATTGATTGTTTTTCGTTTATCCCAAATATAATCGGATTTCTCTTGTCCGTCACTTCTCCCTAGTGGTACGGAGCCATTGTGAAGCGTTTCACTAGGAAATCGATTGTCGTGTTTCCGTAGAAATGTAGGTTAGAACTTCTTGAGTGCCGGTTTTATAGGGGGAAGACTGTACGGGATACTGTATGTGTTTGTTTAGTGTAAACTACTGTATATTCAATATGAGATAAGAGCATAACTGGATATTTTCCTGTTATTCTATTCAAAATTAAGTCCGTGTTTATCTTCAGGTTGATGAGAAAGACGATTTGGTGAAAAAACCTATATCTGCACTTCATACTTACAGATGAAAAATCTACCTTAAAAACGGCATCGAAACTTTCTGATGACCTTATGCTTAAATCAAAATACAGGATAGTGATGTTACAGAAATAAGTGACAGATTGTATGTGGTTCATGCCCTACAGCAACATTGCAGCTATGCTACTCAAGGGAAGTTAAAGAATAATATGACAGCTGAACTATACTCATATGAAAACACCGGGTGTTCTTTAGCTTCTTCTGATTAGTATATATATATATATATATATACCACGCCGACTCGTATAAAGACACACCGGCTGACAGACACACAACAATGTATACACGCCTAGTAGCCAGCCGCATCTCAATTTTATATGAGGTACTCTGAACCTACGGACGTTGAAAGGAAATGTTTTTAAACTGTTATTGCGTATCATTACAAGTACGTTATACAGCTGTAACCCATTGTTTCTGTATGTCTTCTTCTTATCATCATCATCATCATCATAACTCGTAGTAGTGGTAGTAGCAGAAGAAATATGTATCAACTAGTAATAGTAACATATTTTTTACACATTAACACACACACAATACACACGCACGCACGCACGCACGCACGCACGCACGCACACACGCACGCACGCACGCACGCACGCACACAAACACACACACACACACACACACACACACACACACACACACACACACACACACACACACACACACACACACCACACACACACATCCCCTCGGGTAGACTAACAACTAGTCTCTGAAATGAACACATCTTACATAAAAAAACAGTTGTTCAGTTATCTTAATAAAATATAATAAAAAGGAGCCCAGTGACTCTCTTCATCCTGATACTGCAGTAATCTAGACTTGCCAAACATTATAGTCTTGCATGGGCTGTATTTGATATATATTTGTATCAGGGTCTGTAAGACAGACTAATCCTCGGGCTCTGTACTCGCATTCATTAAAACTGAAACAGACTATAGTCGCTCAAAACTGTTCAACTGGTGCCGATATTTATGGCAGGTGAAAATACTTAAAGGTAATCTTGATGGGTGATCCAAGTGATAGAGGGGACACCGTATGGGGATATCGATGACATGACTGACCTCTGTCCAGCTCGGCTCAGCGTTCAGACGCTCTCACGGACAGTTACATAAGTGACCTATACCTGCTACTACCAACATTACGCAAGGATCGAATGCAGTACATGACTGCCGGCTACAGGCGACACAATGATGACCTTATATCAGGGAGCTATTGTCCTAGGCAGGCGTAATATTCATAAATTTACCTATCTGAGGTGTATCAGCGCTATGTATTTGACGCAATGTACGACTCATATGATTAAGCGTTCTGTTTCGGGTTTCTTTTACCGTTTATCGGTAGTCGTATGTTGACCAAAAAGGATTCATATTTTCATACTCATCTTTAAACTTGTCAACTCTGTATTTCTGTAAAAGAAACAAGTCGCGTAACCTTGATGGGACTCAACCCCGCAAAAAGTACTAGAAATTGTATTTTACCGAGAAAACGTTATCCCAAATATAACATTTATTGAATGAATGAGTGAGTGAGTGAGTATGGTTTTACGTCGCTTTTAGCAATATTCCAGCAATATCACGGCGGGGGACATTAGAAATGGGCTTCACGCATTGTACCCATGTCGGGAATCGAACCCGGTAAATATTAAACGTCGCATCGGCAACATCTCAGCCATATGTCGACTACTATATTTACCATACCCAAATATTAACTGTAATAGCGTTCTTAATATTGTGTCCGGTAGCCCGTGGCTACTTTTTGACGAGTGAAACTAAACTCTAAGTAGCCCGACTGCCTTGCTTCAGGTTCTATCTAGTGAGCTATAATATTGCTATTCTGCTGACAAATATAACAGTACGAAACGGAAAAGGGGTTTACTGATAAGTAAATTTTAAATGGCTCATTTCTGATTTCAAGGAGGTAGAGTAACATCTGTGATCATGTCGTTATTTATGATATTGTGGTGTTTCAGATGGAAACCTGGAAGTGCCCTGGTGTTAGATGAGAAGATGAATCTCATATGGTATTCCAAATTTCACGTTCAGTTTCTGCTTGCACTTATTGTGTTCTTTCCTTCACTTTGTGAATGTCGTACAGAATAAGTGTAACTTTGTGTTTTACTTCAGTCTAATACAAGTTAACGGCAGCAAGCTACCCTGGCCTGTCTAAACAAGTTCTTCTTTGTTTGTTTGTTTGTTTGTTTGTTGTTTAACGCCGCACTCAGCAATATTCCAGCTATATGACGGCGGTCTGTAAATAATCGAGTCTGGACCAGACAATCCAGTGATTGACATCATGAGCATCGATCCACGCAATTGGGACCGATGACATGTATCAACCAAGTCAGCGAGCCTGACCACCCGATCCTGTTAGTCGCCTCTTACGACAAGCATAGTCGCCTTTTACGGGAAGCATGGGTTTCTGAAGACCTATTCTACCCCGGATCTTCACGGGTAGTTTCTTCTTGTGTAAATAGTTAGACTGATCAATCCATAAAGTCCGTCTCTTATCATTAATTGTCAGTTATAAATAAATTCATATGATCATAGGTGTTTTTCGATTTGGGCTATTTTCGAGGGCGAGAATGCTGTTTTCGTTGCCCTAATCCCCAAAAACTTATTTTAACATACATTTTTCTTTCTTTTTTGTCAGATGTTTGTATATGCTTTACCATTGCATCATATTACTGGTATTTGACAAGATTATCCAAACACAATGTCTGTCATCTGCTTTCCGTGAAAATAACGTTTTTCCCAGAAAACTTACAACCAAACAGTTGACTATCTTTCAACAGAGTCAAAATAAGTTTCATAATTTCGCAAAATCTTTACACAAAATCGCGATATACGTATTAATTCAACAAGAAAACTTCCGAAGATACATTGAAACATAGATACGTCTAAGATATATTATGTAAGGGAATTAACTCTAGTTGCATTATCAGAGGTACGCCCCCTTGTACAACGTTCTCCGTGTTTAACACAATACGATCATGTCTTTGCGTAGGCCTATAGTAAACGCATGGGGATCTTGTAAAACACACACAACCCTCACAATGCATGTTAGCACATGGGGAAACATATATGGATCTAACTGTTTGGCCAGATTCAATTTGAAATGTATACTATTATAGCCTATTGTGTATAATTGTTATTTGTTTTGCATGGAAGACTAATATAATAAGAAAACCTGCACCAGCGATGAAGGCAAAAGTAATCTGTCCGTTTAACCACAGGACCATGCAACTAATAATAACAACAAACAAACTTGCAGACGAGGCCGAAGTCTTTTGCGAGTTTGTTTATTATTATTATTATTAGTTGCATGGTCCTGTGGTTTAACTCCGTTTCAGTAGTCTTGTTTCCGAGTTTATTTAACGGTTATTTCGGCCTAGTTTGTTACATGCTTCTTTCTGAATATGAAATGTATTTACCAATATGGGAAACCGGGGCACAGTCCGGCGCACTGGTGACTGCCATAGGCTAATTTACATATCACGTGACCGGACTTTTCTCTTGTTTGTAAACAAAGGCGCTTTTTCAGAAATCATAACAGAACGGACTAATACAAATATTTGGGGTTTCTTTACATATTGTTTTGCATAATTATATAGATAAGCTACTACAACTGCGACAGTGAGTTGCATGAGAATATATATTTATACATCAATGCAGAGACCATATATTATATGGTCTCTGATCAATGTGACCGTATCGCTAGCTCTCCGTTGGGCTTCGATGACAGCACGTGGAGCCGTACAACCAATGTAAACATAGGATAACTACGCGAAAACAAGTAGATTTTCACGTATTAGGATACTTTCTTAATGAACCGTAACCATTCTTTGACATTAGTTTATGAAAATGTGTAGCCTTGTCAAATCGCTAGCTCTTGGTTGGGCTTCGATGACAGCACGTGGAGCGGTCAACCAATGTAAACATAGGATAACTACGCAAATGGAAATAGTTTTTCACGATTTAGGATATTTTCTCAAAGAAAGTTAATCATTCTATGACATATGTTTATCTAGATATGTAGACATGTAAAAAATGAAACAGATAAAAAAACATATGCAATATCTTGAAAGGACTGTGTAAGATGTAACGAATGTCACATGACGCTGGCCTGTGGCAGAGGTACTATGCTGGTCGCAAGCAACTCTGGATGGGAGAGTCAGCCTGGGGCACAGTAGGGCACCTTGTAAAACTGTTATTATTAGATATGTCATCACATGACCCTTTCCCTTAGAGGAAGTGAGGCCACAAATCGTAACATTTTCCCTAACAAGTGGGTTGGTTGTTTAACGCCGCACTCAGCAATATTCTTGCTATATGACGGCGGTCTGTAAATAATCGAGTCTGGACCAGACAATCCAGTGATTGACATCATGAGCTTCGATCCACGAAAAAGGGATACGATGACATGCATCAACCAAGTAAGCGAGTCTGACCACCCGATCCCGTTAGTCGCCTTTTACGGCAAGCATGGGTTGCTGAAGAACCATTCTACCCCGGATCTTCACGGCAAGCATGGGTTGCTGAAGACCTATTCTACCCCGGATCTTTACGGCAAGCATGGGTTGCTGAAGACCTATTCTACCCCGGATCTTCACGGCAAGCATGTGTTGCTGAAGAACTATT